GCCTCCTGGGTTCAGGCAAATCTCCTGCCCCAGCCTCCTGAGTCGCTGGGATTACAGGCACGCGCCACCATGCCCAGCTGATTTTTTGTATTTTTAGTAGAGACGGGGTTTCACCATGTTGACCAGGATGGTCTCGATCTCTTGACCTCGTGATCCACCCGCCTCGGCCTCCCAAAGTGCTGGGATTACAGGCTTGAGCCACCGCGCCCGGCTGCTATTGGTTTTTATAAGCTACCTTGTCTCTAATAGGCAGAATGAATAAATAGATAGCCACACGCTCAGGCCCTGTGAATCTTGAGAGAAGGAAAGAGAGCTGATTAACCACTGTCCTCTATCCTCAAGGAGCTTAGTGGGGGAAACATTACATGCTGCGGGGACAATATTTTACAGTATAGCTTCAAATATGTACAAAAATGGTTTCAAAGATCATCTATTACTTACATTCATTCTTTAAAGTGACTAATTATAAATTTTATATATTTCCTTTACAGTGTAATATAGTGCTAGGAGTCCAGACTTTGGAGTCAGGTTGTCTATGTTCAAATCCCAGCAAATTGTGTGATCTTGAACAAATTCCTCAACCTCTCTGATTCAGTTTCTTAACTGTAAAGTGTGGATAAAAATACTACCTATCTCAAAGAGTTACTGCAAGGGTTAAAATAATTAGCTAATAATGAATAATAATAGTGGCACTCATCTCCTGCTAGAACAATTACTATAACGCCTCTTCCTATTACAACGATTAATATTTACAGCCTAGGGAGGCCAGTCCTGAAGGTGAACTATCACAAATGAAGCCGGTTCTAAATGCAGAATTGAAACTGGATGGGGCAAACAGGGGAGAAAACACTGAGGATGTGGCTCAACTGGTGAGGGTGGGTAGAAAGCTCTGGAATTTTGGAGTGGGTGCAGTGAAATATCTTCAGAGATGCTGGAATTTCAGCTCTGGAAGACTCAACATTTAAAGAGGAATGCTGTTGTTATTGCTGTTTTCCAGAGATGACAAAAACCAAAACAATTTCAATTCACAAAAACAAATAAAAATTAAAAAATAACAAGCTGGATTTGAGGATCATTGCGTTTGGTTTTTAGGAAAATAAAACATATTAAAAGATAGTTCTAGAGTCCTTTTCAGATTTATTAAAAAAAAAAAAAAAAAAACTTCCAGGGGTTCTCTTGGGGAAAAAACAGATTCAGCCAATACACCTATGCCAAACAATAAATTGATCATTATCCCATGTGTTAAAGGCTACAGGGGCTCAGTGTAGAATAGTTTGAGTAGTCAAAAGACAACAATATCGACATTTTGGAAGTTTCAAGTCAATTTCATCATCTCATAGAAGGTTGACGACTTAACTGTGGAAGCGATTCCTTGTCCGAAGCCCTCATTTTACGTAAGATGAGAACAAGGCCCGGGAATAGAAATGATTTGTCCAAATTTCATCGAAATTTTTATGGCTGATTAAGTTTTATCTAGCTAGTAGTGATGTCTTAACTAATTTCCCCAAAATAAGTAAAAGAATTCCGGGCAAGGGCGAGGACTGAGGGAGGGGGAGGGGAGCCCCGGGATGGGACGGGCCATCTTCGTTACTTGGGGGAAAGGAGTTGGTGCATGTGAAGCTGCAGGTCAAAGCGTGGTGGTGTAGACACGGCTGTCAGAACCGCCCAGTAATCTCCACACCCGCGTAGACATTCACGCACAGCTCTTCCTCACCCCCGCTGCGCGCATCCTCCCTTCCCGGCGGCGCCTGGCAGCCGCGGGGCCCAGAGCCCGAACCCGGCGTGGGGGAGGGGGATCTGCGCTGGGGACGCCGCGTAGCCGTGGAGACTGCACGGCGCGCGGATGAAGCTCGGGCAGCAGCCGAGGGTAGGGGCTGGAGGGGAGGGGCGAGGGCGGGGGAGGTGGCGGGGGCGGGGGCGGGGGCGGGGGCAGCCCGGGGAGCCAAGGAGCGGCGAGGAGAGGGCGGGCCGAAACTGTAGGGCGGTGGTGAGCGCGGGACTGAGCGGGCGGGACGAAGAGGGCCCGGGGCGGGGCTGGGAAGCAAGCCCGCGGGGGCGGAGCGGGGCAGGCGCCCCGGTTGAAGGACAGCCCCGCCGTCCGGGGGGTCCCGCGGCGCCGGAAACTGGGCGCACACACCCTCGGACGGACGTGCGCACGCGCACCGGTTACCTTCAGGAGCGCCGAAGAAGGAAAGAGGGTTGGAAAGTTGGTGTCCATACCTGATTCTAAGCCAGGGAGAGGGAAGGGGGCGGGGTGGCCTCAGAGTTTTAAACTTGGGGAGTAAAAAGTCTTGAGTTGGGAGAGATGTCTCTGGTTGTGGATGAACAAGTGTCCCCTCCAGGACTTCGTCCCCCAACCTGAGGTCGCCCCAAGAAAACTATGGGCCTCCCGGGGGAGTCGTTGGACGCCAGTTTTCCCAGAAGTCAGATTCAAGTGATTAGAACCAGAGACCCGGCTTGCCGGAGCTGCTGCGTGGACACTCCGGCCAATGGGAGGTATTAGTTCTTAAGTAACTGCTTGGGTCACAGAAGGGGGTGGGGAGCTTTTCTGTTAGAGAATTCTAAAGGTCTCTCAAGCTTGGCTTCTAGGAAGGAATTGGTTATTTTTCTTCGCTTAGGATGCCGGAAGTAACTAGAATAAATTTGTTGCTAGGCAACGTGTTTTGAAGGACACCTGTTTGTTGGACTAAAATCTGGATTTGGCTTTCACATGGTAGACACGTATCTGGTGTACTCCCTATTTAATCTCTGGGGTTGGTACCCGCTGAGGATATGTACCTTGGTAGATGGTTGTGAAGTTAAAACGACATAAAAATATATAAAGCTCTGACATGTAGAAGATGCTTAATAAATGGCGATTTTTTAATTATAAAAATAGAACCAGCTGGACCATTTCTGGAACCAAGAGACTACAGAGACGTGGTTATTTTTTAATTATTTTAGTCATCTGTTCACATTCATTCTTTAAATCTCCTGTGAGCCCCTGATGATAGGTAGGAGGCAAGGGAAAAATGCCAAAATGTAAGTTAAAAATAAAATAAAATAAAAACTCAATGGAATCACTGACAAATACATCCCTAGTTTGATAAGGACATAGCAAACCACTGCCTCCTCTATTACAGGAACACCCTTACATAGAAAATGTCTTGTTTGATGGAGGACTTTTAGTTTAAACAAGAAAAAGAGTACGTCTTTGAAAACATTAGTTTTGTTGAATTTGCTTAGTACTGATGAATGGGTAATGGCTGACCAGCTATTCCCATTGTTCTACTCCACGGAAGTGTAAGAAAACATCAAATCTGATTAAACTTACTTTATCTACCTACTCTTCTTCTCCCTAACAGAGAAGCTCAAGTTCATTTGTAGAATGCAGTTTTTTTAATGTTTACTTATTGTTCCTGAAAGGGGGCAAAAATAGATTAATGGGCCGGGCACGGTGGTTCACACCTGTAATCCCAGCACTTTGGGAGGCCAAGGTGTATGGATCACTTGAGCTCAGGAATTGCAGACCAGACTGGGCAACATAGCGAAACCTTGTCTCCACAAACAATATAAAAAATTACCTGGGCATGGTGGCATGGATGGGGTGGGGTAGCGGGGGATCGAAGTTGTAGTGAGCCTTCATTGCTCCACTGCATTCTAACCTACGCGACAAAGTGAGACCCTGCCTCAAAAAAAAAAAAAAAAAAAAAAAGGATTAATGACTTTGGAGAATAAAAGCATTTTCTATACATCGGGGAGTGGTTAGAGTGATCTGGCTTCCATCTTGGGCCTCAAGGTCTTTAAGTGCCAAGTGGAAATACATGCACTACCTCCCCCCCCCCCCCCCGTAGCTCAGAACATGGAATGAGAGAAAATAAAGCCCCTGTTACAGAGCCTCGCACATGACAATTCATCAACAACTCAGATATTATTATTACTTCTACTATAATATTCTGTATATAAGTAAAAGTACTTTTGGGCCAGGCACGGTGGCTCACGCCTGTAATCCCAGCACTTTGGGAGGCTGAGGCAGGTGGGTCACGAGGTCAAGAGATCCAGACCATCCTGGCCAACAGGGTGATACCCTGTCTTTACTAAAAATACAAAAATTAGCTGGTGGCACGTGCCTATAATCCTAGCTACTTGGGAGGCTGAGGCAGAATTGATGGAACTCAGGAGGCGGGGGTTACAGTGAGCCGAGATCGCGCCACTATACTCTAGCCTGGTGACAGTGAGACTCAGTCTCAAAAAAAAGAAAAAAAAAGAAAAAAAAAGTACTTTCAGGATAGCTGTAAGAATTAACGATCATTAGGTTAAAGTGCCTGGCCCGGTGCCTATTTGAATCCATGATGATTATTTTACTTCTCTCTGGTAAAAAAGCATTACATTTCATCTTTATTTGTAGAATTTGAGAAATAATTCACCTAACTTTTGTGCAGAAGTTATTATTGGTGCTATACTTGGAAATAAAGCACAGTTTAGCCCTGGCCTGTGCATTTACACCACTCAATGAATTACCAAAAGTGTCTATCTAGTGAGAATTTGTTCTAACAAAGTGAAGAGGAAGAGCCAGTCTTATGCAAATATTGAATCATCCCACAACTACGTTTCCTTAAACTCCCTGACTTTTTTTGGAAACAGAGTCTTGCTGTGTGGCCCAGGTTGGAAAGCTGGAGTGCAGTAGCCTGATCTCAGCTCACTGAAACCTCTGCATCCTGGGCTCAAGCAATCCTCCCACCTTAGCCTCCTGAGTAGCTGGGACTACAGACACAGGCCACTGCCCACGGCTAATTTTTTTTTTCTTTTTTTTATAGAGACAGGGTTTCACTGTGTTGGCTAGGCTGGTCCCAAACTCCTGGGAGAAAGCAATTCACCCACTTTGACCTCCCAAGATGCTGGGATTACGAGGCGTGAGCTACCATGCTCGGCTAACTCCCTGATTTTTAATGGACCCATTTTTATTACAGATCTGAATAGCAGTACCTTATGTTAAAAATGTTTAAATCACTTTTACTGTTTTTCTGATTATAAAACTAATACAGAGAAACACAAAAGAAAAAACTAAAACCACCCAGAATTCTCAGTAATAACCTGTCAATAATACTATTTTTCTTTCTATTCTCTTTGTATGCATATATATATATATATACTTTATAAAATTTTCATTAGTTGTTGTACACAGTGCTAGCATCCTTTTTTGCTTAACTTTCCCTCGTAAACATTTCCCAAATGCATTTAAGTCTCAAAACATTTTTAGTGGCTGTATAATATTTATCCATAATTAACTCAACCAGTCCCCAATTTGAAAATTTCCAACTTTTCTTATGTAATTCATTGTTTCAAAATGTTTGTTGAGTACTTACAATATACCAGGCACTATGCCAGACGTAAGATTTAACTGGAGGACAGTAACTATAAAAATAAGGTTTTGATGAACATCTTTGTAAACAAATTTGTGATGTCATCTTTCATTTTTAGACTCAATTTCTAGGTCTATGAAAACACAACTTCAAAAGGCATTCCTTGAACTTCAAAAGCAAATTTAAGAAACCAAATTTCTGAACTGTAAAATATTAACTTTTTGGAAAACTACCAATAACGGAATTAATATTTATTTTGTGCAAAGTGTGAACTTACCCAGAAGATGCTTTCTTGTTAGTTACTGTGAAACACCAAGAGTATTTGAAGGGTATTGACTTTGGCTTTTACCTCTAATTCTTTCCAGGATTTGCTGGTTTTCTCAACAGTGTGAGATTGTTTGAAGTCTATGCAAATTGTCCTACTTCCTTCTCTCACAGTTAAAATGTTAACTGTTTTATTTCCAGCTTTCCTCTTGCAAGCCTGTGGCTTTGCTGCATTTCTTTCATTTACCTTTTCATGTGAAACATTTTGTATTTTCACATTTATTAATCTGAAGGCAGATTTTTTTCTTCTAAAGCCAAATTATATAACATATATTTTTTATAAGACATGGACTTAACATATCCTATAGTATTTGTCAAGAAACATCATGTAAATTAACCAGTGTATTTAAGGAATTTAATAATAGATGTTATTTATTAAAAGCAACAATCTTTGCTGCAAAACACACAAACACACACACACACAAAACTATTCTTTGACAATTAAATGTTCATATGTTAGGTCAAACCATATTAAATTACCATCTGTGGATAAAAAATGGTCAAATAATGGCAACTTCATATGGCTTTATTTATATTAATATTTTATTAATTAGTTTATATTTTTTCAACTTTCTTCAAATATAGAACTCCCTGATTATCATACTAAGGATATCCTTTATTATTGCATGAGATTATGTTTGTTTTGACTTTCATAAATACTGGACTCTAGTCAGGAGGGTACCATAAATGTTTGTTTATTATTTCAAAGACAGTAGAGGGAGCCTGGAGCCAAAACATTGTTATTGTAGGCTTCATGGAAATGATTATCATCTTCCAATTCTTGATGGGTGGATGAATTTAAATACTAGTATATATGTGAAATAGCATTTTTTAAAAAATTATTATTTTTAGAAAGGTTGGTGGGGTCAGGCACAGTGGCTCATGCCTGTAATCCCAGCACTTTGGGAGGCTGAGGCGGTGGATCACTTGAGGACAGGAGTTAGACACCAACCTGGGTAACATGATGAAACCCCGTTTCTATAAAAATACAAAAATTAGCTAGGCATGATGGGTCACTCCTGTAATTCCAGCTACTTGGGAGGCTGAGGCAGGAGAACTGTTTGAGCCTAAGAGGTGGAGGCTGCAGCGAGCCGAGATTGTGTCGCTGCATTCTGTTCTGGGTGACAGAACGAGACTCTGTCTCAAAAAAAAAAAAAAAAAAAAAAAAAAGGTTAGCTGTGCTTAAATAATGACTTTCATAAGATGAGAAAGAAAAGGTTGGCAGCTGAACCTCATTTGGGCTCACACTGGGACCAATCAGAGTTTCATTGTTCACACTCTTCTCTGAGTATTGCTGGAGACAGCACACAGCCACTCGAACACATCTGTGCTCTACAGTTTCCCCTTTTTTCAACTCATAGTGTTGATCACCCTTTCATTGCCATGGGCATTAATATCATGATTCTTTATTTCAACAGAACTTCAAAATAAGTTACCATTCCCAATTTTGTATCTTAGAGTTGTAGATTAGTTAATGGCTTCCTCCAGACATGTAAGGAGGCACTCGGATCCTGTCTCCAACTCATATCCTTCTAGGAAGGTGTCTAATAACTTACCAGTCCTTTGACAGACCTGGAATTTTT